TTCCGATTCCCATAACAACAACAATTCATCTTCTTTTTCTGTTTTTATAAAAAATAATTTGCACTAATTAATGTATGCATGATATATGTGATTTTAGGTGAATACCATCTTGATCTCATAGTAGGCTATGGAGCAGTGCCAGTGATTGTGCCCCGTGTCAATGGGGTCCACATGTTACTGGACAGCTTCGAGCCCATCCATGGAGTTCTGCTCTGTGAAGGAGAAGACATCGACCCATCGCTGTATGAAACAGAGGTGGATGTTTCAGGCCTTTCACCAGAAGAATTGGAAGAAATCAGGAGGCTTCATGCAAGTGACACAGCCATTGACAAAGAAAAAGACTCCATTGAAATGAGACTGGCCAAGCTTTGCCTTGAAAGGAACATACCCTACTTGGGCATTTGCAGAGGCTCACAAGTCTTGAATGTGGCATGTGGAGGTACCCTTTACCAGGACATAGAGAAAGAGCTCTCCAAAAAACACAACGAAAATTATGAGTTAGAGCCTCAAAATGGGGTTCAAGTTCAACATATTAATTATGATGATTATGATGGGCACAGGCATGCGGTGAAGGTGGTGGAGGAGACCCCCTTGCATCAATGGTTTAAGGAGTCTGTGGAAAAAGAGGGGAAGATGGAGATTTGGGTTAATAGTTATCACCACCAAGGTGTTAAGAAATTGGCTCAGAGGTTTGTGCCAATGGCATTTGCACCAGATGGTTTGATTGAAGGGTTTTATGATCCAGATGCTTATAATCCTGAGGAAGGTAAGTTTATAATGGGGCTACAATTTCATCCAGAAAGAATGAGGAGGCCAGATTCAGATGAATTTGATTACCCTGGTTGCCCATCTGCTTATCAGGTCTCTTACCTACTTTTCGCTTTTATTTATTTTTATCTGTTGATTGATATGGGATTCTAGAGGTTGATCATTGATTTTATTTTTTCTGGGTTTTTGTAGGAATTCGTGAAGGCAGCAATTGCTTACAAGAACAAGGTTAATAGCTCAACTTCAGTGCCACAACCTTTGAAGCTTGATGGTGAAATGGAGATAAAGAGAAAGAAAATTGTCAGAAGTTTCTCAATTGCAAGAAACATATACAGTGGAGGCCTAGGAAGTGGCTTGCAACCAATCAAGGAATCTGAACTTGAAGCTGGAGCAGAATTCCTTGAGGTTTCTGATAGATTACCAACTGTTCGATATTTTGTTCCGAAGTTTTGCTATTTTTTCTTTGGGTCATTTTAATTTTATGGTAATATGTGTTTTTGTCTTATTTATCTGCAGTCAAACACAGCATTGAGCTTACAGCAGGAGAACAGGCTAAAGCAAATGGGTGCAACAGTGAGAAATGCAGGGTCCTACATAGAGAGATT